ACTGGGGCCCTAGACCCTCTTCCATATGACCCTATTGGTGGTAGGGAGCTAGTGGATTATAAGGATTTGCTCTTTAATTAGACGCTCAGTAGAACAAGCATCTCATTTATGGTCGTTTCGATGAATCTTGAATGCTATGATACAGGTCTGGATGAGCCAATCCTTCATGCTTTATTCTCTGTGAGAGACCGAAGTGAGGAAAACTGTCGCGCACCTTTGCCCCAGAACGTCCATGTTGTTGGGTATGATATAATTCTCATGTACATAGATATGCCTAGACCCCGGTCATAAAGTCCGAGGCCCAGTTTCGGCCACCAATCACCCACCGAGCGCGAGGGATGTAGGCGCGCATCGTCGAAATCTCATTGGGATTCTCAATCACTCTGTCTTGAGAAGATTCCAGGAGTTGACGGACGTTGAATAACAACCTGTTCACATGGATGTAAACGTGGGACCCCGTGAGGATTGTTTGTATTTGTGGAGGTTCTACAGACGATTCACGCATTGCGGTCATCATTCAAAAGGGGACCACCGGTAATCATAATTAGACAACAAACCGACTGTAACATAGTATAGAAGTACGGATGAAAACCTCGGAAAATGTCCTGTGCGCTCATCAACCCTCTAGTTCACATCACCATATCAAACTTGGCCAAATAAGACCGAGATAGACGCATAAAAAGAAAGGAGTCACAGAGAGTGGATAATTAGAGTAGTGAATGTCGAATTTACCTCCCTTCGTCAGCTGGCCCGATCACACAATCGCCGGCTCTTCATTGGAGGCGAATCTTGCATAGGTAGAACGGGTATTTGCCAGCATTATGGGCCCAAGGATAAATATAGATCAGTATGTATACCTCCTCAGGGGAGCATAGTGTTCTCCAGTGTTTTCCCAAACGGTCCAGGCCTCTCCCATATACGTTCTGACAACGCGCTTCGGTAGAAGGCAATGACTTTCAAAGTCCCATCTGTCAGAGATGGTGGAAATGATTAGGTTGGCCTCGTCCTGTTATGAAGAGTTTGAGTGGGGGTGTGCAGTCGATACCGGATTGGCACAAACGTACTGGTGGTCGGTGTGTCAACAACGTAGAATATGGCCGTAGACATCCATAAGCCCGAAAAGTTGTGATCAAGTCACCTGTCAAACGTCTATAGTTGACAGGTACACGATCCATGATAGACTGGATTTCGTCCCTAGGAATTCCATCTCATAGACGCGTTTGAATTTAGAGCTGATTGCTGAGGGAGGAGCTTACTTTTCGAGTAACGTTTGATTTCTTTATTGTCTAGGGGTACCAGGGGAGGTTGACTGAGACCTATGAACTTTGCGAAATGAGTACACTACTATCACTTGCAAGCAAGAAGGCTGCTCACCCACAACAACTCGCCGAGTCCTCTATCGTTCAACATACTGAGCATGTCGTTTACATTTCCAGCTAGTTGGAAACGTTGTTCGAGCTCGATCATCTTCTTTTTCGAGGGAGCTTGATGAATCTAATGGAATTTTTATCAGATATGGGCGGTTTTGATCAACGAGAAAGAACATAAAACGTACCTCTAGCTTTCTAAACGACATAACTCCTCCTAATACCCAACCCAATAGCGTGTACATGATTTCCATCCCTCTATCGGTACCGAATATGACGGTGTCACTGAATTCTGCGGTCTCAAAATCCACGTATCCCACTGGCTGCATCCACAAATGACATGCTTCGAGCTGATAGCATTCATACACTTCGGATATAAACTCTGAGGAAGAAAATCTTTGGGTTCCGTCCTTTGCGAGGCTGAGATTATTGACGAGTTTCACGTATAAGTTACTATTAAACGTCATTTTATTACTTTGTAATCATTTACTTTCAAAAACCTGCCTGTTAGAGGTCAGAATTTTGTTCACCGCCGTTTTGATGTCTTCGCTCTGTTGTTGATGAGCTTCCAAACGTTCCTGAAAATAGTTGTAAATAATTCTCCCAAATCCCTACAAACGAGTGCTTACCGGTAGAACAGTGTCGTGCCACATGGACACCTTGGTATATATCCGCTGTTGCTGCAGCACACTTTGTCGATAAACGCGAGCTGCTTTGGAATGAGAATCGTAATTAGTCACTAGTCTTGACTCACTTGCTGAAGGCAAAGAGAAGGAATGAAGTTCCGATGTGGTGAGGCTATGAAGGGGGCTTTCATCGCATTGACTTCCATGCCAAACTTTTAGCTCTGCGATTGAAGGGAACGAAGTGGCTTGTATGCGGCATCGTTCGTGTCTTCGAAACGCTTTCCCGAGCTTTACATACTCCTCAGCCATCAATGGGCCGCCCTGCGAAGCTAATGTTAGTTTTATGAACAGCAGCTTATCCGCTAAACAAACTTACATCATCCGAAGAGTCCGGTAAGCCCACTTCGGGGAGCCCTTGAACACAGTCCTCAAGTACTTCACATATATCTCGTCGTGATTCCACCTCTACGAGGAGTTCATTAGAAAGTCGCAGAGAGTAACAAGTGGGGAACTCACCTTTCGTAAAATAGTCGACGAGTGGTCCTACAAGTGGCCATATCGCTGACTGAGACCATGCCGGGTCGATGACAGACTGGTGAAGTTGTTCTAGATCATCGAGACTGCCACCATACATTAGCTACTTGGTTCGGATTTCAAAAGGCTATGATACGTACTAATTTCTGTCCATCTCTATCCTAAATCCGAAAGGTAAGTCCCTCGTCCGGCCGTCGGGTGTGAACAAAAAACTTGCCGTCGCTTCAGCAATTCCACAAATTGACCCAAGTATTTATGCTCTTCCGTGATTGTTTTTAACGCACTACCAGGTATAACACCAGTTGGTTGATACATCATTGCTACAGGCGTATCCTGAAAATACGGTGTTGGCCTGGTGAGAGAGTCCAAATTAGCTGAACAGCTAAGCGGTCGGCAAACTGCTGCAGCGTGGACGAGAATCACCATCACCGGTAACTTTTACTCTCCGTTACAACATAGTGATGGGGATGTTGTTTGAGATTTACTCCGATTGAATGAAAGGCAGAGCAGACGTAGGGTCGCATAATTCAGCCTATTAATAGTGCACCAAAACTTCCAGTTCGGAGCCGACAACTTCGTAGAATACGGGTGCGAAATCGAAATGCGAGGGTACAAGTGAGGGCCAGTGCGCAAAATTAGGGTGACT